GGGGTGGTGGCGCCCCGGGCCCGCAGCCACACCCCTGCCCTCTGTTCTCACTCCCTGCAGGTCCACATGTCATAACACTGGAACGCCAGAGGGATAGACTCCCTAAGCTCTCCTCGTTACGTAACCCGTACTGCGCATGGTGGAAAATGGCAATGTTTAGGCTATGTGGCAGAAAACAAGAGCACTGCGAATCCCCAGCTCAGTGACAGTCACCCTCGAGGTGTGGTTAAAAGTGACGGTTGTCTATGACGCGGGCTCCTGTAGTCGGCCGGGTCACTCTGCGTCTTTGCTTCTCCGTTGCCTCGCGCGTCACACGAGCCTGTCTGCATGGTCGTGTATTTCTGACACCAGCGCTTCCTGGTACGGTGCATCCCACTTTACAGAAACGCTAGAAGGTATCTAACCCACCTCCTCTCGTATCGTATGTCGGCCTTTGACTAGTTTGCCTTACATACAAAGATTTAAAGCCATGATTACCTGAAACTTTTCACAGCATTAATACTTTCCTTAAGGTAAACTCATAGCAGGGTCAAAGCTGTGTACATTTTAAGACTTCTGGGGAGGCAGTGACTTTAAGGTGCTGCCGTGTCCCCTGTCTTGTCCTATCGCTGCCTGCCCTCCGCTCTCCCAACCGAGCTGACCGCCAGCACTCACCCGTTCTACCAGTCCACGTGGAAACTTGATGAATTTACTCAGAAGAAACCACAGAGGTGGTGTGGTGGTTACGGCACTGGTTCCCACATGGCTGATCACATGGTCTGAGTCCCAGACCTGGTGACTTGAAAAACATGCCAGGGATATACGTGTACACAATCAAAATCCCAAGAGGAGAATGGAGGAGGGATTGTGGTGTGGCCGTCCTCCAGCGGCTGCTTTCTCATTCTCTCTCTCTCTCCTCTCTACATCGAGTGCATGCAACCCTAGAGCAAAAACTAAAAAGCAAAAAAAGAAAAGAAAAAGGGACCAGCAGATGGCATAATGGTTACATTGCTGGACTCCCACACAGTCAGTCATGGTTTGAGTCCCAGAACCAGTGACTTGAACTCACACCGGGTGCGTGTGCTCGATGCCCAAGATCCCGAGAGAGAATGGAGAAGGGAATGTGGCACGGCCAGCCCTGCAGGGGGCATTTCTCACTTTCTGTCTCTCTGACGAGTGCATGTACCTTTTTCTAGAGTACATTTGGCCCACCACACCTTAGAGCAAAAATCTCTCTCAAAAAAAAAGAAAAAAGAAAAAAAAAAAAGAAAAAGCTAATGTCATAGTATAACTTTAGCTTTTAAATAGCTGAAAAGGTATTTTGGTATATAATCTGAATTTGTAAGAACTCAGTCAGAATCTTGTGTGCGTGGTTCTGTGCACATTTAAATGTCCGTACGAAGGAAAGATACTTGGCGCAGTACATCGCTAGGCAACGCTGGCCCGACAGAGGGCATGGCAGTGAATTTGAGGACTTTACCCTTTGGTAACAGAATTCACACTTACACTGACTCCTTGATACGCAATATGAAAGTCTCTGTAGGAGCACTTTGAGAGAGGACTTTTTTAAAAAAAAATTTAGCTTAAATTTACATTTTACATAAAGTCCTTATGAAATATACTACACACACACATTTTTCCTACAGAGAACTTTACCTTTTAGTCTGTTAAATGTTTCTTTGTAGCTCTTGCCTATCCTCCACCACCCATTCCCCTTCCTGACGGTCCCTGGCATCTACACTTACCCTCTCTACTGTCACGTCTTTAGATTTCTTAATTTCTGCGATAGAGTACAGATACTTGACACATGCTGGGTGGGGATATACAGTGTGTGTCTATCAAAGTCCGGCTCACCTCACTCAACATTAAGTCTTCTACATTCATCCTCTTTGAATCGGATGATAGGGTCTCATTGTTTCTTAGAATTGAATAATATTCCATATGCTACAACTTTTCAACCCAGTCATTGGTTTTTGGACACTCAGCTTGATTCTATGTTTCAGCAATCCTGAATAATGCTGCAATAAGTGTGGATGTGCAAGTGTTTTTCTAATTGAGCATTTTCCAATCCTTTGGGTGAATACCAAGGAGTGGGATTTCTGGGTCATATGGAAGTTCTCTTTGTAGGTTTTTGAGGGATCTCCATATTGTTTCCACAGAGGTTAGATTAATTTACATTCCCACCAGCAGTGTAAGAGGGTTCCCATTTTACCACAGCCTCACCAGCACGTGTCATGCCTCACTTATTTATTTTTTATCCTAGCTATTCATACTGGAGTTAAATGGTATCTCGTTTGGTTAAATTTTGCATTTCTCTTACAACGAGAGACTTTGAGCATTTTTTCACATGCCGATTAGCCATTTGTAAGTCCTCTTTGGAGAGTTTTCTACTCAATTCATTGGCTTATTTTTTAATTGGATTATTATTTTTTTTATAGACCTCAATCCCTTGTCCAAGGAATAATTCACAACAATTTTCTCTGATTCCGAAGGCTGTCTTTTCACTCTAACAGTTGTTTCCTTTGCTGTGAGGGAGATTTTCAGCTTGTTGCAGCCCCACTTGCCTATTTTGGGGACTATTACCTTTGTGTTAAGGGTCTTATTTAAGAAATCTTTCTCTACTCAGATGTCTTTAAAAGTTTCCCCTATATTTTCTATTAGTACTTTTTCAGTTTGAGGTTTTATATTTAAACCTTTGATCCATTTTGAGTTGATTCTTGTGAACGGTGAGAGACAGGAACCCAGTTTCATTTTTCTACAGGTGGATATCCAGTTCTTCCAGCACCATTTGCTGAAATGACTTCCTTTGCTCCGCTGCATTTCTTGTACCCTTTGCCAAGGATCATTTGTCTCTATGATCTGGGGTTTACTTCTGGATTCTCTGTTCTGTCCCATTGTCTATGAGTCTTTTTTTGTGATGGTGCCGTACTGTTTTGATCTTCACTGCTTTGTTATGTATTTTAATGCCAGGTAGTGAGATGCTTCCTATTTTGTTCTTTGGCACAGTATTTCCTTGGGGATATAGTGCCTTTCATGATTCCACACAAATTTTATCATTGTTCTTTTTCCTATTTCTAGGAAGAATGTCACAGGCAATTGTATCAGAATTACATTGACTATGTAAATTAATTTGAGTAGAACTGATACTTTGATTAAATCCTTCCAATCTAAGAGCATGAGCTGCCTTTCCATTTTTTTGTATCATTTCTTTTTTCATTTTTTCACATATATATATATATATATTTGTAGAGGTCTTCATCTCTTTGTTTCTTTCTAGGTATCTTATTTCTTTTGTGGCTATTGTAAATGAGTTTCTTCAATTCCGTCTCAGTTTGCTTATTATTGGTGGATAAAAATCGTATGGGTTCTTTTTAGCGTCTATGTTGAACCTTGCCAATTTACTGCATTTGTTTATTACTCGCAGGAGTATTCCACATTCCCCGTGGGTTTCCATGTGTACACTCCCGTGGACAGTCCCGTGGACACTCCCGTGGACAGTCCCGTGTACACTCCCGTGTACACTCCCGTGGACAGTCCCGTGTACAGCAGGGCGGCCCAGCTTCTTTTCCTGTCTGAGTGCCTTTTATTCTGCTCTCGTCTGATCGCATTGGCGAGGACTTGCAGCACTATGTTGAGAAAGAGTGGAGAAAGTGGACATTATCGGTATTTTTTAAGTTTACCTGCTTATGAGGCAGAGACCACCCCAACAGGGCCCACACACCATGACCCACCTCTAGCCCCAGCCAGCCGGCATCGCGCGGGCCGCAGGGCCAGACCCTGAACGTTCCCTGGGGTGCTGCGCTGCCTCTGCAGGCCGTG